ACTTGTGTTAAGTGCTCAACATTGTGTTTCTTATTCAGAGGTGGAGATGAGAGTTACTCCGGGGTCTTCCGTAATCGATGCCCAATCTAGAAAGAAAACCGGGACTGTCACAACTGCCCTTGGGAGCCGTGGTCTTGGTCTTCTGCGCTTAGAGGATGCCTTTAAGGGTAATTTGGCCATACAAAACCAGGAAGATGTTAAGGTCCAGACTTTTAGACCAAAATGGTGGCCTTCTGAATGGGTAGATAGCCATCAGCAGTTTGCTGCAGCTACCTAGTTAAGAATGTTGCCTTTTTAGAAGTCCTCTTTTTAGTTCTCAAAAAATAAGAAATAATCTCTTGAAGGGAAATTTATGAAATTTTATCACTGCTTTTAGACACTTTTTCTTTTCTTGTAGTGCTGAAACTGATTTATCACTCGGGCTATGTTGTTAGCTTTATAGATGTATCCATGCAACCCTCTCTGTAGGTAAAGGTCTTGTAATATGGTTCCAGTATTTTTATATTTTTAAATATTTATTCAAAAGGAAAAGTTTTTCTGCAGATCTACGTCACGGTAATGATTATATCCAACAAACTGCACATCAAAAGCTAATCGAGAGATTAGTACTTACATGTTGATCATATTTTCTAAAAAGAGAGGATTTGAAATATAAAGAATAAGGATTAGATTGGTTGAACTGCCTGCCAGAAGGCTCACAAAGCTGCCTAAACTTCCATCACTATTAAGCTCGAGCGACACTTCTTGCCCATCAAAATCTTTAGCCTGGAACATCCCCAAGGGAAATGTAATTAATTTGACACCAAATAAATAGCAGAAATATAGATTCCATCACTTTAAAATACACAGAGTAGTTTTTTAAATTACAGTTGCTCTTTCCAAAGTACAGATATTCTCTGCCTCATATGGTAGTGAGGACTGAGGAGGGAACACACAAAAAAACTCCATATAAAACGCCAAGTTCATTCAGAATCAGCATATTCAACTTGCAAAGTATGTTTAATCATTCATACATCGGACAAGTATTCTTTACTTTTAGACAAAAATGAAAACATCAAAAGGTCGGATAGTGACATTTTTTAGAGAGCACACAACATATTACATGAGGGGTAAATAATGCCAGAAAATGAATGACCACATACATGATTTAGGGGCCATTGCATGAACCACAGTTCAGTTGAATCTGTTAATAATTTTTTTGATTTCAAAGCTCAACGTGGTGCACAATCTATATTAACTGGACCATAAAAGTTTAAATCACAATGGAAACCTCACAATAACTCAAAGGAAGTGTTGAGTGACCATAATATTTAAACAAGGTCTAATATCTAGTATCCAGGGAAAAAAATGACAGAGGGTGATGAGCAAACCACTTGAGACACGTTAAGAGATGAGGATTTGAAACTTAGGCTTTGTTTGCAAGTGCTTGTGTTTAAATAAAAGCACATTTTGGAAAAAGTGATTAGTAGTAAAAGTTGATAGTGTTTAGTAAAATAAGTGTTTTTTGTGTAATAGAAAAAATAAAAAGTAGATTCTACACGAAAACCGAGAAAGTAAAAGTTGGTAGTGTTTGATAAAATAAGTGTTTTTTTCCTTAAACAAAAGCCACAAACACTTTATTTAAGTGCTCGCAAACAAGCCCTTACAATGGTATATCCAGAACTTTTATATGAGGGAGGGAGATTATATGAGGGAGATTATATAGAACTGTACTATAACATCGAAAAAAAATATTTAAATGAAAAATCAATACCATTAATTCTATAAGATGTTTGAATATAAGAAATTAAAATTAAATTAAAATATATAATGCATAACTGCACAAAAAAGATCATTAAACTCAGGTCAATATACATTGAATAAAATACTAAAGTAAAATACTATACACAACAAAAAATTCAACTAGAAATATGATACCTATAATAGTAGATTAAAAAAGGGAAAAGGTTCAGATAGGCCCTCGAACTTACACAAAAAGGTCAAATAAGCCCTTATATAGGAGGCTCTGTCCGGCCGTCGCCATTTGGGGCGGTTCCCGATGGAATTTTTTGATGATTTTTTTTAGCATCGTATTCATTAAGTCTAGTTTACTCATACCAAATGTCAACTAAAACTTCAATCGGGAAGGCATTCAAATGAATTCTTGAAGATAACTTCGTGGTCTCTGCTTCATATATGTTAATTCGCTCTTCCTTTTCTTATTTTTTCTTTTATAAAATAATCTTAAATGATATCAATAATAAGCTCATGTGAATTCTAATACGCGAATCTAATTTAATATTATACTTCTGAAATATGCATTGATATGAAAATTGTAAGTTCTGCTAGTTTAGCATCAAGACATATTCATAGAGCATCAGACTTCCTTTATTGAGTATTGGAAGTTGGAACTATGCAATTGAGTATAAAAATTTCTAAACCTATTGAGCATTAAAACATCTACATTTAGTATCACGTCCTTTAATAATGAACATTAATATTATACTTTTGAAATATTAGTATCGCGTCCGTCAATTTTGAACATTAACATTTACTTTTGAATTCTAATATGAAAATCGTAACCTCTGCTAATTCAGTATCTATACGTTTTCATTGAGCATTAAACCTCTTATATTGAACATTAGAAGCATGTAATTGAGTATCATAGTTTTTGTTCTCATGTCTTCTAATTCGCTTTCTTATTCTTAGTTTTTATTTATTTTTCTTTTGTAATTTTTTATAATAAATATCGATAATCAACATCTATGAATTCTAATATGCGTATCTAGTATAATGGTATAATTTTAAAATATGCATTGATATGACATATTAATATTCGCAAGACAATAACACCAAATAAATATACATAACTTAAAAACGAGAATAGAAAATTTTCAAAAGTTCATTTAAATTCTCTTATTATGTGCTCAAATATTTATTTGCGTTATTCCACCATAGTTATCCTCAAGCAAGTGCATGTTCAGCCCCCAAACTCGTAACTAGATAATTGATACGTGAACCATTGCATGTACTCTTCATGTTCTTCCTCACGCCAAACAACTGGCTGGTTGGTGTCCACCACCACTCCTCCTCAGCTCTTTTGTAGACGAAGAAGGCTGATTGAGGATGTCGTGACTATGTTCTACGGTGATCAAAGCAGTGGAATTTAGCGGAAACCGTAATATCACTCGCAACCTTCGAGCCCGTTTGGTAGCACGAAAATCGGCTGTTTTGGCTGATTCTGCTGAAATTTATGAAATTCTGGCTGAAGTGGCTGTTTTGGCTGATTCTGCTGATTCAAGAAAAAAATATTTTAAAAATATATTTTATTAATAAATAATAGAAAAAATTACATGTAAAAATAGCTAAAATAGTCCTCTACAGTAACTTCAGCCAATACAGCCAGAAAAGTAACTCCAACCTTACTTTTTCTGCTTATTACACAATTCAGCACACAAAAGTAAAAGTTACGTGTTTGGTGAAAAAGCTGGCTGATAAGTCTGATAAGCCGAAAAAAGAGCTCTCCAAACGGGCTCTTCGTTGCTTTGCGAGATTTGGTGTCCAACGTGCCGAATATGAAAATCTCTATGGATCTGTTTCTAGTGATATTATATGTGTATAAATGTATAACCATGCTCCGATTTTGAATTTAATTACAAAAACACTTGATTGTACCAATCACGCGGCACAACCTATTGTATGGTACAATTTGCCATACTTTTCATTTCTTTATAAAAGATTTAAAAAAGATCAAGAGTTAAATTCATTTTGTGCTCATTAGGTGGTTTAAAAGATTATTAAGAGCCCGTTTGGTAATACTCAGAGCCCCTTTGGCTGATTCTGCTAATTTAAGAAAAAATTATTTTTGAAATATATTTTATTAATAAAATAAAGAAAAAATTGTATGTAAAAATAGCTAAAATGGTCATCTACAGTAACTTCAGCCAATACAGCCAGAAAAGTAACTCCAACCTTACTTTTTTCTGCTTATTACACAATTCAGCGAGCGAAAGCAAAAGTTACGTGTTTAGTGTAAAAGTTGGCCGATAAGCCGAAAAACAGTGTTGCCAAACGGCCTCTCAAATTGGCTGAATCGGCTGATCCTGCTGAAATTTATGAACTTCTGGCTTAAGTAGCTGTATTGGCTGATTCTGCCGATTTATAAAAATTTAAATTTAAAATATATTTCATTAATAAAAAAAATATTTAAGAAGATAGCTCTATAGCCTTTAGCACAAGATTTAAGAAGAAATTAATTGGGTTAAAATAAAAAGTGTAGTGAGTTGTGTGTAAAGGAAAAAGGTAGGAAAGAGAATGAGAGTATATAAGTATATGCGTATATTTATTGAAAATACTTTCTGAAAATGGAAATGGAGACACGTATTGGAGAACATTCCAAAATAGAAAGAGAGACATGTACTCCCTTCGTCCCAATTTGTATGATACTTTACGGTTTAGATGTTTGACCCACGATAAAGCAAATTGATCCCTACCAACACTCAAATTAGTTTTAGAAAATAAAATTTACATATTTAGAAACTATATTAAAACCGATATGCCTGCAAAAAATAATTCAAGTTTCACAAACTTTTGATGTATAGAGTTAAAGATTAAGAGTGATTTATTGTAACACCCCGCCCCGTAGAGCCCGAGGTAGTTACTCATACACACCCTCCAGACCTCTAGTACTGTCCTCACAAATCGCTGCTAGCCTTTTACGCGCACTTTGTCCTCACTCGTGCGCGCCCTGAGAAACTTCCCAGGGGGTCACCCACCCCAAGACTACTCCCGTGCAAGCACGCTTAACTTTGGAGTTCTTGGTGATGAGCTCCCTTAAAAGGAGATGCATCTTGTTGGTATGAGTAGTACTATTAATCCATTTATATTAAATCTCAAGTGTTACATTTATGTTGACCAAGTGAATAGTAAATGTATCTTACATATTGGGACTGAGAAAGTATTAGAGAACGGAGGAAAGTATGTAATAATAGTAACTTCAACCGAAACAGACACAAAAGTAACTTAATCTTAGATTTTGTTATTATGACAGCTTACCAATCACACTTGCTTGTTTGAAAGAGCAGAGAAGCTTCGGAACCAATACATGTTCCGATCCGATCCGTCAACGATAACTAACTCCTTCCGCGTACACAACCGCTACTCACTCTCGATCTCCCCCTTCCCAACGCAAAACCCGCATAGACAGCAATATTGGAAAAGCAACGCAGTAGCAAAGGAAAAATAAAAATGGAATTACCGATCAAAAACCTGTCTGCTTTCAATTTGTCGTCGAATTCATTTTCAAACTAATCCTGATATGCATTTCACGGTCCCTGTTTCTAGCACAACTACTTGACTCTCTCGCAGGTGGGCATTCTTGATCATTTCGGGCTTCTTTTTTATTTTAGCTGGAATTTCTAATTGTAATTACATCTTTTGATTTTCTACGGATGATTCGCATTACTTTTTTTAATGTAGAATTTCGTTTGCCATTATTTATGCGTATTCCCATGGTTGGAGATGGCCAAGTTTCCGTTTTCTCATCCGAGCAAAGGTATTATTAGCATATGGATGATCACAACAAAGATTCGACCTTCAACAGGCCGACCCAACACATTGAAGTGAGTTTTTCTTTCAATTACTTTGCATCTATAACATCCAGCAGTCTCTTGGCATTCTTTATGTTTTTGACGCCTAAAAGAATGGTGAAAACGGATGCCTCTCTAATGTGTACTCTGTAATTGAATGAGACAAGCATGTTTTCCTGTTTGATTTTTTAGTTTGCTATTTTAAAAGCAATACACTCTATAAGGTTTGAGTAAATGGACGAATGGGGACTCTATTTTATACAAGGCAGTTTGAATCATTGAAGGGTAACAAGCTTTATTTTATAAAGGTCATCATTAATTCATTATCATTTTTGCTCAACCATTAATTGGAAGACAAGTTATTAACCATCTTTTATGATGGAACCTCAACTTTTAACACACGTGGGAAAGAGATCCATCATTCCTCACCTAACCGTTGGCTATATATAGTAGGCGTATACGTTTGATGCATTAAATGCACTTAAACCCCGTTTAACCAAATTATGTATAAGTAACTTGCAATTATTTGTAATTAGATACTCTAATAATATAAGTTCATCGATATTTGTAAAGAGAGTCATTTGTCAATTCTTTTTTTTGTATATATTGCTGATTGTAGTGAAAAAATTATGATGACATGTGTGAATATACAATTTTTATTTGTACGGAGTAATATTTTATCTGATCAATAATATTAATTGTGTTTTGTTTTATACTTTGTATATTTAACTTTGCTTTGAACATGCTTAATCCCATTTCTCTCAATAAAAATATTGAATACCCTACCAAATTCATGGTATATATATTGTCATTCTCTTATGGTACATTCCACCAACTTTTCCGGATTATCACTTAAGTTATTTGCTCTTTTTCTTTCACAGGAAAATAAGTCTTATGTCCAAATTCCCATACTATATTACTTTTGGATTTCTGAGAATCTGAGATAAAGATTACAACTTTATGTATGAGAATTGACTTAAAAAAGATTCTCTATTAACATCTTGTATCGGCAATGATATAATTTGTAAATTAAAAAAAGATGGATTATGGTAGGTAGAGTAGTTGATGCACCTGCTCATATTGCTTGAGATCTATTCCACCTTCAATGATTATTACTACTATTATGCTCTAATTGAGAAGAGTTTGTTTCAGCAGATGGGATCATTAGATGGAAGAGCGGTACTTGAGCTACAGGATGAGAGCCTTGCCAGCCCAGGGCATGTTAACATGAAGCCAGCATGTCTGGATGCTTCTCCTCGCAGATTCTACTTTAAAACCAACTCTGATGATCTCAGTTGTAAATGTATATTGAATATGGTGTTCACCAGCATTAAACTCGTACTGTTATCCAAAAAATTGAATATTCTGATACCTTGTGGCCCATTGGCAGTTCTTGTTGATAAGTTTTCTAATCACCATGTAATTTTCTTTCCTCTCCAATCTTTTCTCTCTATCTATATATATGTGCTTATCATGTATGTCCTCTCTGCAGGGGTGGATCTTCTTTTTAAGCTTGTTAGGCATCATACCACTCGCGGAGCGTTTAGGTTGGGCGACAGAGTAAATTCACTTTACCTTTCGTCTTAAGATGTTTTGTATTTCCGTTCTGTACATCAATCCAATTTGACCATTATATTGTTACCAAACACATTACTTTGCTAAGTTGTTTCCAAAATTTCTATGTTTTCAATTTCATATGATGAGAAAGATATCACAGTTTACCAGTTTTTGTAAGGGGCTCTTAATACCTTTTATGGTCCTCCAAAAGTGCATATCAGAGTTAAAAAACATGTATGCTTCATTTCTTTCTATGAGAAAATAGCTAGGAAGTAGTGTTAATATCATTAAAGGCATTCATATTGGATTTAACTTGATTTCATACGATATACGATGTAATGCTTGAGTGTTCATGCAAGGGAGTCACTAATTTTGGGTCGTTTTCTACGCAGGCAGATGGCTTTTTATACTGGTCCTACAGGTTATATCCTTTGCTCTTATTTGCATCTCATCTTTAAATCTATTAGTTTCCCCCTTTATTGATGTTTGGATTTATATGCACAACACATCCAGTATCATCATTTTTTGGTTTTATTTTTCTGAAAGCTACTAGGTCACACCTTCTAAAACTGAAAATTAAATCAAGAAATAGAAACAAAATCAAAATATTAAGGTTCCCAATAAACCCCACCCAGAAAGCCTTAAAACTAACTACAGACAAGCCCAAAACTTTTTTTAAAGCTAAATTTGATACAACTTCTCTTTTTCTGGGCCCGTAAATTTGTAATGGATATTTATCTGGCTGAGTTTTGGAAACTGAAAACTTGTGCAAGCTTACCACTGTTTTATGGGAGCTTGTTTTCAAAGATTTAACTCACTTACAGCCTGACCAAAGGGTCTACAGATTGCTGCACCAATTCAGACCTTTAAGCACATTATATACAAGGATCAACACGGACAGATAGCCTAAATATTCCTAATATTCTGAGAAAATTTATGTTTGAATGTGTTTTAGATAGAAATATTCTTTGGGTTGGTTTTAAGACTAATGTTGTGCGCTTTGCTTCTTTGTTCATGCAAAACACTGACAGATTGCTTGGCTTAATTTGGGATTTTGTAGTTGGAGGTCTTCTAAATGCCACCTTTGGTAATGCAACAGAGTTGATAATATCAATGTATGCACTTAATAGTGGGATGATGCGAGTTGTTCAGCAGTCACTTTTGGGCTCAATTCTGTCGAACATGTTACTGGTTCTTGGATGTGCATTTTTTGCCGGAGGAATTGTTCATCCTAACAAAGAGCAGGTTTTCAACAAGGTATGAATATCCATGCATGGTCACTTTTCCTTTTTTTTTTGTTCAATCAAAGGGTTAAACTAAAATTATAATAGGAGGATGCTTTTTATATATTTAATGTTAGGGAACTGCAGTTATGAATTCTGGGTTGCTTTTGATGGCTGTAATGGGGCTGGTGTTACCTGCTGTCCTCCATTTTACACACACTGAGTTACACTTTGGAAAATCAGAGCTGGCACTCTCAAGGTTTAGTAGCTGTGTGATGCTTGTTGCATATGTCGCCTATCTTTTCTTCCAGCTCACTAGCGAAAAGAGTCTTTATGTGCCCATTGCAGAGGTCAGCTTTTAGTACCCCATTTCACGTTGCTTATTATCATTAAAACGGATTTCCATCCTAAAAAGCTAACATGAAAAGAGAAGTAGTACAAGGAGTAGTTGTTGCCTTATACATGAGCTTGTATCTTTATGTTTGGCTGTTTGAGATAATTTAACATGCTCCACACGATGGTGGCTTGTTGTAGCAAACCTATCTTGAATACGGGTGCTCGTTTTGGGTCTTTGTGGACTCTGGTACCATATGAAGATATGGGATTGCATCTTAAAAACTCAAAATGATAAAAGAGTAGCTCAAGACCTTATATTTTGGTTTGTATTTTAATATTTGGCTAGTGTGGGATAGCTTAATCATAGTTATTGCTTATTTTGGTTTCTACATTTTTGTACAAGCTAAAACACTTGTGCTCACTTTTAGGAAGTGAGTCAAAGTGATGGTGACCTAGATGATGATGATGAAGCTCCTGAGATATCAATGTGGTCATCAATCATATGGCTTTCTATCTTGACAGCATGGATAGCTCTTCTATCTGAGTACCTTGTTAATGCTATAGAGGTAGCTTAATCTTGCAAATTTACCACTTTATTTTTCATGAAATTCTTGCATTCTAGTAGTTGAATTACACAACATCCATGGGACTAGATTAACAAGCTATACCTAATACCACTGGCTTATAATAGGAATAAAACATGGGTCATGTGTACAAATACCAGTATCCTGGTTTTGTTCTAAAAATATGACTCATTCAGCCATATAAAGAATGATGAAAGTTGTTAATAATTCTTTTTTAGGAATGAGTCAGTCTTATTTTTGGGATCGAACAACTAAAATTCTATTTGAAAAAGAATGTTATACTTAGTCCAATTTATGGAATCTTCCATTTATTATTTTCCTACTTATGAATGATGTCTTCTTCTGACAATGTGACATCAATAGGACAAATTCTTTTTTGATTGGATTTTGTGCTATAAATGAATGTGATTTAGGGAGCATCTGCTGCAATGAACATCCCAGTTTCATTTATAAGTGTGATCCTGCTCCCTATTGTTGGCAATGCGGCAGAACATGCTGGTGCTGTCATGTTTGCTGTGAAAGACAAGCTTGTGAGTATCCTCCTCCCTACCTACTTTCATGAAAATATGGTTAAAGGTGCAAATTATGAATCCCTCGTTTATTCAATGGCGGTGCAGGACATCTCTTTGGGAGTAGCCATTGGATCTTCTACGCAGATAGCCATGTTTGGCGTAAGTATATAACATAAATATTATGTATGATGAATATCTATTTGGAATTTAATGATATAGGAACCGAAAGATAGATTAACTATCAACCAAGGTTCTAAAAAATTGAATGAGAACTATCAATTATAGAACATTAATAATTCAAGCATCAGTCTGAGACTAAAAAATCATGACTTTTGGATCTTTTTACTTGAAATTTGTTCATGTAAATTCTATATGGAAATTCCCTATTGTACTTTATACGTAGTATTAGATTTAATCAAGGATATTTGAAAAACGACTAAGAAAGAGTCAAGAATGATGATTCTTTTAAGCCTTCTTTTATAGTTTACTCATTACTGTTCTAAGAAATAAGAATACATGCCTAGCTCTTTGCTTCGGTGCTAGGTCTCCCTTTCCCTTCAATTTAGAATAGAGATGTATACCTATCTTTTACTCTCTGTATGCATTTTAGCAAGTACCATTAATGGCATTGAATTGAATTGCTTGTTTTTTATACTTGTGACTATGTATTTATTGTTGCAGATCCCTTTCTGCGTGGTTGTTGGGTGGATAATGGGGCGTCCAATGAACTTGGACTTCCAACTTTTTGAAACTGCCACCCTGTTCATGAGTGTCATTGTAGTTGCCTTCATGCTGCAGGTTTGTGATTTACATAAATACAGTATATGGTTTTTTAATTTTTAAAGTTTGTTTTCTTTAATATGTACTACTAGCTCTTTTCATTCTTTCCCATCGTGATTTGTGTTTGTTCTCCGGGTTGTATTCTTATTAGCATTTATTTGCCCTTACATATTTCACTTTTATTGTCTCCTTAAATGGTTTCTGCAGGAAGGAACTTCGAATTACTTTAAAGGACTGATGCTCCTCTTATGTTATCTGATAGTAGCCGCAAGTTTCTATGTACATATGGATCCCAAGTCTATACGTGAGTTGCTTCTCACTCCTCTTCTGGCCTAATTTTTGTTACGTCATGGTCACTCAACTGAGTCATGCTCATGTGCCAAGGGATACTAAAAGATTGAGCCCAATGGAGTAACTAAGCTGACTTAAGGCTTTATTGACCCATCTAGATTTTATTATCATCCTTCCGTCGCAATACCGTTTCAGTATCATATATAATAACAGCCACCTTTTGATATAAAATAAAATTTTGGCAATTTCACATTTCAGAGGATAAGCCAATCGGGACATAGCCAGCCGATCTGCAGAAGAAACTGTAGCCATGAGCATACCACACCTACTAATTTTGAAGAGTTATTGGTGCTGCCCAGTTTGACTGCTAGCTGTGAATTCCACCAAGTTCTTTGTTATATATCATCTACAAAAGGTAGCTGGTGGATGTATAGTTTTATTATTCCTTTTCTGGAAATTTTGTTCAACACTAGTTTTTTTAGTTATAAACAAGCTGTTTTGCTCCGCCATTTTTTGGATGGGGATGTATTTCAAAAGTCCAGAAATAGCTATCAATATTGTTGTACTTAGAGTTGTGCAGTAATTAATCCTCTGCACAATTATAGCTCTCATTGTTGTACATGCTGTTACCAAGTTTCTCAAAACGGTCTCTGTTATTGATCATCCCAGAAAAAATGCAATCTTTGTACATTACCTTCTTTATTTGGACCCAAACCTGATGTACACTTATTGTATTATTGTGTCAAGTTACTAACCAGTTTAGCTTTTTTTTAAAAACTAAAATAATGTCACACCACTGTTCTGGAGAAGTGGACTTCCTTTCTCTTCTTGTAGCATATTCCTCTTCCTTTATGTACTCCCCTACACATTCTTTCAAAAAAAAAGTGTTCCCCTACAGTCCTACACATTCATGTTCTTCATTCCTCTAATGAAACTCTCTTTTCTGATGTAGGTAGTAAAAGTGTAAAACTTCATATGTGGGTCTTTTTTGACAAAATCAAGCAAATTTCAAATTCAAGAAATAGTTGTCATCATAACATTCAATTTTAATTGCGTATAATTTCACTGTAATTAGGGAGCAATGTGTGTTACGTTTGTCAAAAATTAAGGATGAATTCAATTTTAAATGTTTTTCTTGTGATCAATTGGCCAACTAAAAAATGGATATTGTGTCAGTCAACCTTAGGGGAGGGTGGGTGAAATTGAAACAAGTCTAATCGACAAAAATCAAATCACAAACAAATTTAATCGTGCAAAAATTGAAATCGAACTAAAAAATGGAACATAATCATAATTGTTTGGTTTCGATTTTCACTTCTATGAACTAAAATATTTAAAATATGTTATTTTATTTACTAAAATTAAGCACAATACTTTCTTTAATTTTTAATTCCCAACTCTAAGCTAGATAGATAGTGGAGTAATTAGGGCATGTTCTTGTGTGATGCCCTCTCAGGGTCCACACGCCGAGAGCCTCGTAAAGGCATAGCCTCTCTTGTGACGTCATCGTAAACGGAGGCAATTCGGTCAGAGATTGCTATATTGTTATTCAGTCAATCAAAAGAGAAAATCTAATGGCGGACGGGTCTAGCTTTGTCTAAGGTGTTTTGGGGGGTGCGCAGTCACCTTCAGAGATGATGATTTGCGGCTTGATTTCAGTGCAAAAAATGTGATGAACAATGAGTAAGGTAAGAAAGAAGATGCAGTATTGTCAGTCCGCCCTTCTCCTGAACCGCAGCTATGGAGGGATCCTGTGACTATGGTTTGAAAGACGCCGCTTCAAGTTTGGGTTTGGCCACACGACTTATTGCTCTATATTTCTATCCATTTTTTAACGTTTTTAAAACTTTTTAATTTGTTTTTGGTTTATTTGTGTTAGTGACTTTTTTGAGGTACTTATGGCCATTGTTTGCCTCGAAGCTCCCATATATTTAGTGAAAAGTTTTACTTTTGATTTGGTTGAAGTTTTCTATGTATGATCATGGACTGGGCAAACTTTTCAACTCTTTTGAGTTTGTTGATATGGTAAAGAATACGATGATCTTAAGAGTCCGAAAGAACGTGCTCTATGTTGCTTGTTAGGTGGCAAGCGATTTGCGCTGCTTCTTTGGAGGTGGTTGTCTCATAATCTGATCGTAGGGTTTTCTCGAGTCTAGATGGAGTCTTTTAAAATATACTTGGATTTTGATTTATTGGATTTTTTTAATTGCAACCCATTGGTTAATTTAATAAAGTTTGACGCTTTTTCTTTAAAAAAACCTAATGGTATGTTTGGAAGTTTGGAGAGTTTGGAGGGAATGAGAGTGGAAGGCTTTGAAGGTTAGTTCTAGGAGGACAAGAAGAGGAGGAAGGGGAGGAAACTCTTCTTCTTGTTTGGGAGTTGTAAATTTGAATAAAGTGGAGTTTTTTTTTTGAACAATTCTTTCTAACCTATATAGTATCTGCTCAATGTTAATGCCAACATCCTTGAACTGGGATGAGATTCGAACCTGTGACCTCCTTTGAATAAAAGGGAGTTAAGAAGGAATCATAATTAAAATCACTTCACATATATGATGAATTCAAATAGTTGAATTTACATTTATTTAAAATTGAGCTAAAGTTGTCATTTAATTAGTTATCCTTCAAAATCACCCAATTTGAAGAAACTTAAAAATTGAGCATTTGAAGGGTTTTGGAAGGTTACAAAAGCCCTCCAAAACCACCCCCTCCATATTTTTAAACTCTCAAACATGAAAGGAAAGGTCATAAACCCTTGTCAACCTTCTCATCCCTTCCAAAACCCAACTCCCAAACATACCCTAAGCTGGATTGTTAGAATGTTTTTAATTGAACCGGTTCCGATCCCAAACTGGACAAGACTTAAACAGAACATATCAGACCATCCCAGTTTAGATCAAAAAAGAATTTAACATTTGTAAAAATACACATAAAACCTATATGATCAGATTAGACCAGATTTAAACAGATCAGACCAGAAAATTACAATCCAATTAAAAACATCCTTAATGTTTGGTGATAGAATAATTATGTTTTATTTAAAAAAAAAGATGACACCCCATCCCTGAGGGGCCCCCAACACCGACCGGACGGCACGATGGGAGGATGTAAATTGGACTATAATCACAAACTGACAGATAGAGAGTGAGGCTCCGTCCCCGGTACTTGCAGATGCCCTAGACATTTTTAGCATAGTAACCTCTCATCGTAGTTGCCGGGATTCGAACCCGGGACCTAACCCTTGTGGCAGCTACCGGTATTTTATGTTTTATTAAGATATATTGATACGTGATATTTTTGATTTAATTAATTGAAACACATATATATTGTTTCACCTCTTGCTATAATGAATCTCTCTCTATATATATACATGTAGAGTAGTATTTTTGTCTGAAATTTCCAGACAAGACCATCGTGCGATCACCTCATTTTGAGGTGGTTCTGGTGGAAATTTTGATGAAGTTTTATGAACGTGTTCTCTATGATACGTAAATCATGTCCACTAAATTTCAATTAAAAATTCAATCAAAAAATAGTTAAATAAATTTTTGAAAATAATTACTTGAAAATATTTACTTCCCGAACAAAACGGAGTTACTTTCTCACAATTTAGATTGTACTCCCTCCGTCCCTAATAACTTTGCCAAGTTTGACCGGCACAGGGATTAATAAAGTAAAAACTGTGTGTTTTATGTTTGTGCAGTGGAGAGAGAATTAACTGGAACCAAAAATTTCTTACTTAAAAAAGAAAATGACAAAATTAATGGGACATCCAAACAAGGAAAGTTGTCAAAGTAAGTTTTTATGAATTAATTCCAGGTCCTCCGAGTTTTGCATAGATTATTGTTTTTCTCACACTCAAAGCTCACCCTGAAGGCCAGCGGAACATCACTGCCCGCAGCCACTTTAACCATTCCCGTCAAATTTTCCGGAGAAGGCCATCTTATTCTCCTGAGCTTTACCGGAGGTACGTAGGCTTCGTCTAGTGAAGCTTTCCTAAATATTCTTTCCTGCAAATCCTACACACCAATCTTATTCAATCATCGAATGCATTTTTCAAGCATGGCCTCTTTTGGTATCCAAAAGATGACCAAGACCATCTTTCATGGCTGCCATTCGTTCTCTGCAGGTTGCGGCGGATTAGTACATAACTTCGAAGATGAGCTTCTCTCGTGGTGTAAAGTGTCCCATTGAGATCATGTATAAGAGGTTAAATGGCCACTTGCAATTGGGACAGTATTACTCCACCCTGGCAAGCCGAGAAATTTTAGCTAATAAAATTGATGGAGTTACAAAGTTTTATGCTTCTAGATGTGCAAATAGGAACCTTGAGCCTGGATTCCCCTTTAGGAGGTACTCGACAGAGGTTTCTTCTTCAGACCAGATGGGTTTGATAAAGCTTCTTAGGGAACGAACTAGTGCACCCATTAAAGAAGTCAAGGCTGCTCTTGTTGGAAGCAATTGGGACATTGGCAAGTTCAAAACTTTCTTTTAGTTCTATATTATTTTTTCTTTATTTGTCCTTTTTTCTACTATGGGTTAAAAATAAGTGAATAAATAATTGATTTTATAGTTCTGTTTTCAGTAGAATCACTGTTATGTGTTTTATTCAATGCAGATGCGGCACAAAAAGAACTAAGGAAAAGAGGAATGGTTTTGGCATCAAAGAAGTCATCTCGAACTGCTTCTGAAGGTTTGCTTGCTTTGGCACAGAATGAAAGAAAGACTGCTCTAGTTGAACTTAACTGTGAAACAGATTTTGTGGCAAGGAATGAAATTTTTCAGTACTTGGTTAGTATAAAAAACCTTCTTGACCTAAGACACTTTCCTTTGATTAAAAAGTTTGGAGTCAATGTTGAAGGCACTTCCAGCTGCTATTACCTCCCTAAAATGCTGGACCTGTGCTTGACTGCTTTCATGGATAGTTAGATTCAAAACCTGGCAATCTCAGAATATTAAAAAAGAAGAGAGCAGATTTTTTGTACGAAATATTGGACATATGCTTAACCAGGGATTTACCATTTGTCTGCCCTGCATTCCTTTCGCTGTGGTTAATATTTAAATCTTTATACATGTACAAATCATGCAGGCTTTATCTTTGGCAAGATCAGCACTGCTGGTTGAGGGTTCACAACAGGCATCTGGTGCACTTTCTTTTGGACCAGAATATCTCGAGGTATGATGCTTTTATAAGTTTTTTTTGCATAACATTGTCGAGTTTTAGGTGACTAAACAGATAGTAGGGATTTTACATTAGTTATTTTGCTTTAATTTTTTTCAATTAAACAAATATTGAGCTGTTGGACCAAACTAATGATTTTAAAAGCTATACCTGAAGTTTAGATACTTCTTTTGCCTCAACAAAACCCTTTTATTACACTTGTGTAGTTGTAACATAGTTAAATCTCATTTGCACTAACAGTTATGTAATGTGTACCATATCCTGTGTTACTTGTTTTGAGGGCTTATATTGAGTCATCACTATTTTTTTCTTTCCCGTGCCATTATTCCAGTTCTCTTTTTCTGTGTTCTACTTCCTGTTGTTTTGAGGGCTCATTTTGCAAAGAGACCTTCTATCAAATTTGTCATGTCAATGTCTCTCAAGTGAAATAAGCATGTATGAATCAAAAATGGAAGCAAGTGACCATAACTTTGACTGCAGGATATGAAGCTTAATCTTGATCACCCTAAATTAAATGGAGAGAGGACTGTTCAAAATGCAATAACTGAGATCGCTGCGATGATGGGGGAAAATGTGAAACTTAGAAGGGGCTTTGCAATAGCCAAT